CATTGCCAAAAGAGTATATATTTACCCCAAAGTATAATTACCAGCAATAAATACGTCGCAAGAAGTGACCATGTATTTGGAACCGTTTGATTTGCGACATAAATTGCTTTGCTTTAGTAAACTGGAGTACGTCTGTAAAACATCATTGAGGCTTCTCTGAATGGGAAAAAAAGTGACGAAAAAGTGCATTGTTTCGTTTGTCCACGGAAGGAAGCCTGTCTATGTGGAGGACTGTTTCATTAGCACGCCAGTGCAATGTTTAAGCAGCTATGAGCCATGAAACAGGCAATTTGGCTCCCATCCCTCCGCATTTTGGAAGGCGTCGCGCCAGAGAACGTGGATTGGACTCATTGGCTGATCCAAGGTCACCACTTGCCTGTTCCACACCCAGTGAGCTTTGCGCTGAATGTGATGTGCCACACACAAGAAGCAGACACCAGTTGCGCCACCTTCAGTATAGATGAGTACCAACAGTACGGATTTGCAACTCAAACAGGCAAAATTGAAGGCGCGTTTCTTGCACCATCCTTTTACTTGCAATTGAATTTATGCCCACATCTAATGTGAATTTAAGGTGTCAAATGCGGTCCTTGACACACCTCTATCCTAATACGATTGAATATGCCGTGAGGTGCTATCCTCAGACATGTTCCGTAATCCAATCAACTTCGATAACATTCTTACTTACACTTCTTTTTAGCTAATGCTGGTTGCCACAAACAAATGCTTAAGCATCTTTAATGTCTAAGATTTAAAACCCATGCCAATATTTTTTAGCTTCTCTACTTCAACGTTCGTGGTAGAGGAGAATTGATTCGACTGGTACTGAATGCTGCAGAGAAGGACTTTGAGGATGTACGCGTAAGCAACGCCGAGTGGCCCTCGCTAAAGCCTCAAATGCCCTTCAACCAGCTGCCTGTGTTGGAGGTTACCAAATCAAATGGCGAGAAAGTTATGCTCACGGAGAGCCTGGCCATCGCCCGCTTACTAGCTCGTACTTTTGGCCTATACGGTGATGACGCTGCAGAAGTATACCTCATTGAACGAATGAACTCCCTCGTAAGTGTATTGGTCCTCTCAACCATTTCACAATCTAAGAGTGAATCCAGAACATCTTGGATGGTAAGGAGTAGAAACGATGCCCACATAATTTAGGCAATAATTGAGAAGGCAAGATGAACTTTACTGCCCTGCAACGTAGATACATTCCATACTGTGCAAATAATCTGGAATTCAAGAAATCGCCACAACACCCCACCCATTTCAGATTTAAGTCAGATAAGCAGCACTTTACTACGACTTTCCCGAGATGCGTAGACAAGCGAACAGATACCACACATGCCTTGCAGAAAATAGGGCAGCATAATCTAGCCATTTTATATGGAAGAGTACTGTCTCGTCGATAATAAGTGTCTTAAACAAATAAGCAGTCTTAAAACGATTGGCAGGGAACCTATAGTGATACGACACCATTCAGGCACCCAACGACACAATTTACTCAAAAGTTCCACTTTGTAGACAAGTTCGCTCCTAGAGGAAATCTACGCCCTGGGTTTGAAGAAGGTCGACAGTTTCAAAAAATTGGTTGAAGCAGAGCACGTGCGCGAGTACATGGACGTGAGTTTGCCACCGATTTCGTTATTAAGCTAGCAAGTAGTACATATTAGCTCCAATTAATCTGGGTTTCATCACTGTTAGCATCATGTATCCTAGCCCAATAAATGCTAGCAGCATCAACTCAGCATATCTGACGTAAGAAAAAAGGAGCTTTCCGGGATTAAGCTCATACCCCGGATGCCTTTTGGTTAAAATGACGCATGGTAGCACTGTCTCCATAGATAAGCCAATTAAGATCTCGCGGAGCATCGTAATGCTCGCATGATTGCCTAATTAACCTTTTGACCATTCCACTTCTCCCGAATTGCTTCGTTTAGGCGATCGAAATGGCTCTGAAAGAACGAAAAAACACATTCATCGCCGGCTCCCAGGTCACCTTGGCCGATCTGCAAGCAATAGTTCTGCTTGATACAATGGACAAATTTCTCCCAAATACAAGATATGAGTGCAGAGATGAACTGGAAAAAATCAAGGACAACGTTATCAAAGCAAAGCTCGGAATCGCCAGATACCTGCGTTCACGCCCAGTTACTGATTTCTAATGTCAGACTTTTACATTTTTCGCTCCTATTGCTGGGATTTCAAGTTTCTATGATATTTAGAAAGAAGTTAGTGCTGTCATTCTCGGAATTAATGAAAGCGCTGGGAGCAAGCAAAAGAAAGGCGAGAGAAATAAAGCATGGAGCTCCTGCGCAACACCTAGGTGCTGAATTAATACCTTTCACCTACAGCTGGCTATAAAAGAAGAATGTGTAATGCACAACATCTTTCAAATTATTCAGCAGAAAAAATGCGAGAAGACACGTCTTTGATGAGCCATGCCACGCTGTCCAGAAGGTTTTCCCCTGTTACAGCACTACAGCCGTAGATACTCCAATGATGTGTTGTAATATCCCTAAGAGCGAGCGCTTCAGCGATTTCAGCAGGTCTTAACGCACCCTGTAGGTCCTATGTAACGTAAGGACGGGAGTCAAGAACACGTCTTGAATGGTAGGGAATAGTCAGACAAAAGAAACAGCAACAATTCATTCAAGAGCCCACCTGCTTATTTGCCAGTACGAGGAGGGTAGCTCCAATCAATCGTTCTTCGACTAGCAATTTGCCCAACTCTTCACGACAGTCGTCTAACCGCAACCTATCGGAACTGTCGACGACCCAAATGAGGCCATCCGTGGTTTCGAAGTAATTACGCCAGTAAGAGCGTAAGGAATGCTGACCGCCTACATCCCAAGCATTTAATCTGTAGCCCATATACTCCAACGTATGAATACTGAACCCCAGGGTAGGTGCGATTGTGGATATATCCTCACCATTGAACTTTTTGACTACGGTTGTCTTACCAGCATTGTCTAATCCACTAAAATAACAGGACGTTAGCGTAACTGAATAGTGAAAATAATCAATAAACTACTAACAGATATAATAAAATGGAACAACATCGATGAGATACAGGGTCACACTGACACCGTAAACTACAGAATTGAATCCCCTAATTTATTAAAAGTGGAAACCACATCGGCATGAAGAAGTCATACATCGAAAAGTCACGCACGAATCAATGATCGAATTTACAGAATAAGGACTCGAATCTCTCGTTCCTTCTGCTTTAATTTCCTTAATATGGTCATCAGACCCATAGTTACGTTGAACGTTCAGGCTATCTTGGAAACAGAAGTATTTAGCCTTAACTTGTACGCACAAATTTCAATCAACATATCAGAAATTTCAACAATAAACTTTTTAACCATTTTTTGCCCTCTCCACTTAGTATGCGCATATTTGGTAGGAGTAAGTTCCATATTTTAAACGGCAAATGTGTCAAATGTGTTAATCCACTGAAAAATTGAGTATTTCAGAGATAATATTAATTAGAAGGAGAATAAAGAGAGCTTCCTAATCCCACTTTATTGCTTGCGAACTTTGAGTAATGCAGAGGATAATTTACCATTGACACTTAGAAGCGCGTGTAAACTGTTGAGTGTTGCAAGTGTTTGCTGTTAAAGAAGGCCCCACCCGACAGATGTATAAAGTCGACAATTCGCCTAGCTTTGGTTATTGTTGAGCGCGCCAAGTCTGGTCTGTGTACCATTGCGCTAGATATTTTATTTCTTAGCTTCATGTTCTCTGAAGTTACTGCAGGTTAGACCAGTATTGAAGAACATCGGCGGCTAATACAACAGCTTTGAGTAGCTGTTGTTATGGTTTGAGCGCCGCGCTCCACACTGGGTGTGTTATCCGTGAAATTTGGAATTCGGATTAATCAGTATGTTTCTCACTCGCCCGCGATGAGAGTTAAAAAATCATTAGGGACTCTCTGAGCCAATGTATGCTAATAGAATATCTGCCATGTCCTCAGAAATCTTCTGTTATTGTACCGTTCAGACCGCCTTAAAACGCATCTGCCACCCCCAAGATTGACTCACCTACCAGTGAACATAACAAACTGAAACTCAAAAACAGACACGTCTCATAACTAAATTAACTACGTGGGACCACAATGGTTATCACCCCACCGTTACATAACACCGCACTACTACAACACGTCTGCATCCCCACAGAAAAGCAGGGAGAATGGCCACTGCACAAACGCCCACCATGAAGATGACTGAAACCTCTAAATCACAGATTATTGACGACGTCTATGCAAAATTAAATTACAATAGTCCTCGATACGTGTTGTGTGATCAAAAGCGATGGGACGTCATATAAGGGATCCCAGAGATATCTGTGAGTTGTCCATGTTGAAGGTGTGAAATGAGATATGGAGTGAGTAGAGGTTATATATAGTGCAGGAGGACGGGTAGAAAAAACGTTTAGGCATCGGTCGAAGGTTCTTCTAGCTTTTGTGGAGCCTCAACATGCTCCAAAGTCGAGGTGGTAGTGGGCTGAATGATACGCTCCTCTGATGAGGCGCTGGTCTGGACATCAGCAGCTGAGGACGTGGTGGAGAACACTTGCGCTGTGGTATAGGTCTCTCCACCATCCACTGAGACCAGAGTAGTGGAGGGCTGTGTACTAGCAGAAGCAGCCTCGTCAGTCGATCCGGCGGATGACGCAACAACTACCGTGCCAGAGGGCTGCACTAGTAGGGTTTGTGCCTATAAAAACCACCAGATTAACAAACCGTGATCCATAGTCGCAAGCATAAACATCAACCAACAAAGGAAACAGGAACAAACATGCTCACAGACAGACGGACAGGCGAGCAAGGAGGCAAGTCGTAAGACAACGCAGATGTGAGGATAGTCATGCGATGATTATAATGAGCGAAAGCGTTACAGTGATGACAGTGGATCATAGGAAAAGGTAGTGAGGGAGAGATAATAAGATGAGTAGGTGAAGGGAGAGTTTTTCGATCATTTACTGTTCGATTGATCACTTACTCCCGAGGTGAGATCCGACAGCTGAATAGTGAATAAAAAAAAAACAAGAAAATAAGGTACATTTGTATACATCATACTTCAATAAATAAGCCTAAGTGACAAATTAATCAATAGCAAAGAAGGGTTGGAGCCAACCTGAACGTGGACGGTTTGAAGCTTGTTTGTGGCATCAGTAGAGGCACCCGCAGGGGCACCAGTTGCGGTAGTAGTTGAAGGTGTGGGATGCTGCACGGAAGTCTGCGGGTTCACCACGTGCACAAGTTGCAGCCCACCCGTCGTCGCTGCCGTACCTGCCACGCCGCCGGTTGCGATCAGCGTTCCACCCACCTGTGCTGTCGCCACCGCGTCAGTGCTCGCTGTCTAGATATTCAAAATGTAATTATCACATCTTCCATCTACTGTGACAGGCTTTAGCTTATACATTCCTCTCAAACAAGTTCGATGATAGCAAAAAGTAGTCGGCTTTTGAATTTAAAGGTTTTAGTGAAAAACAGTTGAAAAATGCAAGACAGAAGCCTTGTCACCAAAATCCGAACATTTGGATCGGATGGTTGTAGCTGTGATGAAAGCAAATGTAACAGTAGAGTGCTCTAGTTGTACCTGAAATTGCTGAGGAAGCATCTGTATCTGGAAGGGCTGTCCATTAGAGGCGGAACTAGTGGCAGGTAGCTGAATAACATATTGGATCTGCTGACCCGAAGTGGTCGCGGCAGCTGCTGGCACAGTGGCAAACTGTACGGTTGGTTGACCAGCCGCAACTGTAGTCAATGTACCGTCGGCGCCAGCCACCAAGGTGGCTGTCGTGGGTCCTGCAGTCTCTGTCTTTATAGAAACGTCGTCACCACCAGCCTGTTGCTGCTGAACCACCTGCACCTGTGTCTGCTGGACCAGCGACGAACCCGCCATGTGCTGCAATGCTGATTGAGTGTGCTGCTGCTGTGACTAAAGCAGTGCATCGAATGTCTTAAGTTAATGAACGAAGTAAGTCGCAATGGAAAACAAATAGGTTAACATGTTTTTTTAATAATCAAGAGGCCCACGTACAGATATAAGGACCATTTCTCAGAGCTCATCTACATTTATGTCCGAAACACATAGGTCACAATAGTACGCCTCGAATCACACCAATACTTAGCAAAAATGGAAACTCAAATGAAGATCCAGTTTGGAATTATAGTAGCATTTACAATTCCGACGTAATCCACATCTATGATAGTTGTGAAAGTCCTCAGCCATTTATGAGCAACCCAGAACACGTCTTCAGATCATTTCGCTAAACTTCCTTTTGAATCAAAACTGATAATGGTTTCGGGACTGACAAGACTGCCTCTGTTATTAACCAACCTACAATTCAAATTACTGATGTCCAATATTTGAACGGTCACAATTAGAGTTGTAAGATGGTATCAAAAGTTGCATAGTGCGTGGATTCAATGGTGCGTCAGGCTGAAACCAAAGCATCAAAGCAGGCTTAGGCGCGGGCAATAAGTGATAAATACTAGAGCTCTCATGGAGATGCATGAGGAATGACACTAATTACTAGACCATCGTGCAAAGTGATAGGACGAAAGTTAGGAGTAAAAGTGATAATGCAGGATCAGAGACAGCCCTAAACGCAACCAATACTCATCATGCGACGCATCATCAAATGGAATGGAGCATCTTCAACAATCGTTTACTCACACAGGGGCCGGAACTTAAAGACACAAATGCTTCAAAGTCGTTTATCAGTAAAGCTAACACATTACGAATGAACGCACTAAGCCAAAATGGAGATCTTAGTCTCTCATTATGACGACGGTACGATCAGCTAGCTAGCTATTGAGTTGATGACTTCAACAAAAAAATTAAAACAGTGACAACAAACACGAACGAAGCACCTTACTAAAGATGTCCGCAGAAAACAAACAGACAACACCGCTGCTTGAAAAAAACGCAAAAATAAAAAAGGAATAGTAAAAGGATTCAACAAGCAAAATGGCAAGAAAGTCGATAGATTGAAAATATTGCATAAAATGAGACAATGAGTGAGCAGTTGGACAACTCGTAAGCAGATAGGTGGCAATGGTCACCTTACAAGGATAAGATGTAAATGGCACATTTACCGGCTGCAATGACAGTACCTGGACCAAAATGAGCGCAACATTGCCACTTCGTTCACAGTACAAATTCGACTGTGTCACGACCGCTGCTTTGCACCCTCCACACGCACGCGTGTGCATTCAGCAGCATCTCCACCGACCTGCCACAACACGATGCGTACAAATACACGCAAGGACTCTACAAACAGGTTGAGGTTCACTGCTGTTTTGCAGCAGCCCAGTAACCAAAACCTATGTTTTTTGCTAGTAAACACATCCCTTAACAAAAAGCAGCAAAGACCGCATCTCTGACATGCATATTCAACACCTGTTAGCGTGCGTTCGTAGAGTTACAAAGAATATGAAAAATGAAAATAGATGAAATCTTTGCGATAAAAAAAAGCTCTCCAGTCGCCAAGACTGAGATAAATGCCCCTGTCTCAAGAGAATCTCCCACGTTCCAACGGGAAATGCCTTTATAAATATCAACTCTTAAAAAAACATGGCAGCAATGGTTACAACACAAGCCAAAGTAAATTGACACGAATAGTTTTAACGCCAACATCTAAACAACAAACTTTCAAATAAAAGCCACATAAGTGATAGGCGTTAAATCGTGAAAAAGCCAACAGGCCCTAATGGGAACACTTGACACCACAAAAGCAAATACCTATTTCTAACAACTTCCCATCTTTTTAGAGACGTAACAAGGATTGGTGGTAATTTATTGAAAAACTCCGGCCAAAACGAAAGTTGGATGTACATATACACTAGTTTTTTTTTCGAAAACCAGGAATAACAAACCGAACACAGAAGTGGAACCCAGTTATACCAAGGTACAAGAGAATTCAGACGAGTCAAACGTAATGCGCATAGGATGGGATAACAGCTACAAAAATATACTCTTTCAAATGTACTTTTCTATCCGAAGCAAACTTCTGCGGAACAACTCGAACCAAACGAAGAGTTTAAGCATCCTACAATACAGAGGAAAACGTGACGTCGCTGCCTCTGCGTGAAGACATCAACTTAGAAAATAGAATCCCAAAGTTAAGATGGGTGCATGACGAATGTATCAAAACCACACTGCAGTTAAGAGCATAGTGAATGCAAGCGACGAGTCATGGAAGAGGAATGTACTGAAAACCGTACCCTCCGATGTCCACGCCCCTCGTCTCGCGGCACAATATCGATGAGGAAATCGAACTGGTCTGTATCTCCATAGGAAACAGCCATAGATATATCATTTCGCTGCAGAGTTCTTCGACGGTTACGGTCAGTATGCAACCAAGCCCTCAATGTTAGTTCACGAATAAAAAGCTCAGCAGCTTTAGCGAATAGTATTGGAGCTTCAGCACTGATCATCTGGAGACATGGTGATTACGTGGAAATAAAGAATTACCATAGTTTTGACATCATCATCAAGTTTCATTATTTTCTTTATACGAGCAAGGGGAAGATCCTGAGTTTTGAAAGAATTCTGCTCAGGTTTTAGCCCTTCTGCCTCCTGCTTTGCCATTTCCCAGAAGTTAGCAATATGCGTTTGCGAGTCACAGGATATATCAGGAGTATACTCCATGTAAACTATCGAATAAAAAAGTGGTGAGGCAATGAACTCGCGAAGAAAAAAATTGGCGAAACATGAACTTGGTGACCCGACCACTAAAGAACTAGAAGTGAAAAACACAGACACACTGAAAACAGTACAATCATGCTAATCCGACACCACATTCACATTTCAACGATAAAATGGGAAGAAGCATATGGAAATTCAAAGAAAAGTGCAAATGAGGTCTAGGAGAAGATAACAGTAAAACAGAGTAGCCCCTAAAGCGAAGCTAGACAAAACCGAACGCAGGCGCTCAATCCAACCAACGATGGGAAGAAAGACTACGCCGGTGGTCAAGTAAAACAAAAAACAAATGGACGAATATGCCTACGATCTGAAAAGTCACCCAAAGACACACAAACAGACTGATTTTTTAATATATTAAATAAATTATTTTATTATATTTTAAAAACTCTAAGGAAATTTTTGCTATGTACACTTGCAACGTTTTCCACCTTAACATATAAGGTGGGCAAATCAAAGTGGAATGGGCCCTAACGATTACTATGGATCAAAACTTTGCATTTCTGCCGCATAAATAGCGTCATAGCATCATGAGACATTTGCACAAAAGAAGTTGTTATGGCATCCCAAGACTTCACATCAAAGTAAAAGAATGCCCTGAATTGGGCTAGACGCTTGCATTCTAAGAGGAGTAAGAGGAAATGCGGCTTAGCCTGATCCTGCAAAATAATTGAATTAAGAGACTGGAAATCCTGTTACGCATCCTTAATGTCTATGTCCAGACGTTGGAACATTGGTCCAAAACGGTTTTGTGACCAAAGACAAGGAAGTTGATGTTGAGGTTGAATACACGTATTTTGAGGACGACAGGGCAAATGGAGCCTGGACGTGGCCCGAAGACCACTGCATGTATACAGGGGCCAGACAAATTCGAATGTGACCGCAAAACGTCATGTAGTCACATAAACAAAGCATTACACTGCCCATCTCTTCTTTCGATCAACGTCCTCAGCGGTCCCCTCTCGTACGCCTCCCACGCCAGCCATTACAACATATTCAG